ACCTACCCATGCAACTTCAGTACCATCAGAGGCTCTTTTAGTGACTGAGCCTAACAGGCATCCAGCAGTAGGAGACAGGCAGAGTCAGATCCCAGGGTGCCTTCAGCAGTTTTTTGCTGAACTGCCTCAAGCCAAGTGCTGGTAATAGCTGGCTTAGTGTACAACTTGGTTCTTCCCATACACATCCAGGACACACAAAGGCAGCTACAAAAAATGTTAGTGGCTTCAAACAGGTTGCCCAGGTCCAGTCACAGTCAGAGTTCCTCCAGATGAACAAAACCAACACACCCAGTGGCAGCTTCAGACAACATCTGAGTAGGATTCCATAAGCTTCAGAAGTACCATACCAAAGAGATATCTAGGGAGGCACAAGACATTGCTGAAGCAAATTATGTGTTATATGGTCAGCACCTGCACAACAGCTCACACACCATTGTGGAGGTTGAGCCTATCAGTCAGCCAGTCTGAGGGTTGATCCCATGCACAAATGGGCCAATAGTGATCAAGACACAATTACAACAGGAGGGCCCACATAACCCACACAAGGGAAATTCCTGGAGCACCCAGCTCAGGTGATCAAGGAGACTACATCCCTGGACCCCACAGGACAACTACTATACAAGGCCACCCTACCAAAACTGGGAGTCACAAAAGATCTACCCAACACATAGAAACAAAGCCAAAATGGGGAGACAAAAAAACATGCCCCAAACAAAAGAACAGGAGAAATCTCCAGAAAAAGAGCTAAATAAAATGGAGGCAAGCTACTTATAAGATACAAAGTTCAGAGACAATGATAATAAGGATGTTCAAGGAACTTAGTAAGAAACTACAAAGTCCTTAATGAGAACTATAACTGCAACAGCATGAAGAAGAACATAGAAACCAAGAAAAAGAACCAGTCAAAAATGAAGAATACAGTATCTGAAATTAAGAACATACTAGAAAATCCATGATGGCAGCAGAGTAGGTGGAAACTATACTTACCACCTCCTAGGATTAAACTTCAAATACAACTAAATTATAGAATAATTACCCTGAATAACCCATGGAAGACTAGCTGAAGAGAAGCCTTAAAACCAAGGACTTACATAAGAAGCCACATCAAGGCTGGTAGGAAGGGCAGAGATGAATAAAGGGCTGGCCCCAATCCTATGGGTGCCTGCTGAATTTCTGGAAGGATATCTCAGCTATAGGTGGTTCCCCCTGATAAGCATGGAATCTCAACCCCAATTCAGGCTCCCTGCCTAAAGCACTAGAGACAGGAAGAGGTACCCACAAAGCATCTGGCTATGAAAAGCACTGGGGTTTCTGTCTGTCAGGGAGAGATAGGAGTCCACTAGAGACACAGGCACCCTCCTAAAGGTCCAAACACACAAAATATCATTTGCAGCCTCTCACTAGGGGCTTTGGCAGAGTGAAAATGAGTGTACAAAAGTTGCATGAGGAAAGTCTGAGATTTGTGGCTCTTGGGAGAGAGCTAAAGGGGCAGCCATCATGATCCCTGTACTGAGTCACTCTCACACACTGCAGATACCATACTTCTTGGGTGTAGCACTCCTCCCTGTACAGCATCAGCCTGGGGGAAAGCAACAGCCTTCCCCTCTGCAATCCTCCTTGCCCCACCCTGTAGAGCTTTCAGCCTGCTGTGGGTACAGACAGGTTCTATCAGTGTTTGAGCCTAAAAGGCAGCCAGCAGACAGAGGCAGGCAGACATGGATCTTGGATGCTTTGGAGCTTTTGCTGACCAGTCCACAGACCCAGTGCTAGTAAACTCTGGCCATGGTGACAGGCTTGGTCCTTCCTGTGGATCACTTTGTAGCTCCAAACAGGTTGCTCAGGGCCAGTCACAGTCACAATCTGAAATTGACCTGAACCAGAGTCCCTCTCTAGAAGCCCAGAATCAACATATCCAATCACCAGCTTCAGACAGCAACAGAGAAGTATCCAATAAGCTTCACAAGCAGAATGTCCAAAGGGAGATCTTGGCAGACAAAAGACCCTGCTGAGCTGAATTCTGCAATGTATGGTCAGCACCTGCACATCAGCACATATGTTGTGCTCAGGGTTGAAACTCACAGTCAGCCAGCCTGCCTAAGGCTGAATCCAAGCACAAATGGGCCGGTAGCAATCAATACTCAGTTACAGCAGGAGGGCCCATATAACCCACACAAGGGACATTCTTGGAGCACCTTGCCCGGGTGATCAAGGAGACTGCACCACCAGACCTCTGAAGACACCTAATACATAGGCCACCCTACCAAGACTAGGAGTCATAGCAGATTCAGCTAATACACAGAAACAAAAGCAAAAGCAAAAAGGCAGTCAAATGGGAAGACAAAGAAACTGGCACCAAATGAAAAAACAAGAGAATTCTCCAGAAAAAGAACTAAATGAAATGAAGGCAAGCAATTTATCACACACAGAGTTCAAAATAATGGTTATAAAGGTGCTCAATGGCATAAAAAAGGCCATAAAACCATTAAAAAAAAACAGAAATAAAATACAGTATTTGAAATGAAGAATACATGGGGAGGAATAAAGACTAGGAAAGAAACAATTGAATCAGAAATTTTGAAAACAAGGTAGAATAAAACACCCAATCAGAGCAACAAAAAGAAAAAAAGAATTTTAAAAAATGAGGATAGTTTAAGGGACCTATGGGACAATGTGAAGCATAATAACATCCAAATTATAGGGGTACCAGAAGGAAAAGAGAAAGAATAAGAGCCCCAGAATGTATTAGAAGAAATAATGACCAAAATCTTCCTTGACCTGGTGAAAAAAGAGTCTAGGAAGGGTAGAAAGTCCTAAACAAGCTGGACTCAAAGAGGCCCACGCCAAGATTCATCATAATTAAAATGCCAAAGGTTAAAAACAAAGACAGAACCTTTAAATCTGTAAGAGAAAGACAGCTAGTTATCCAGAAGGTAGCTCCCATAAGACTTTCAGCTGCTTTCTCCATAGGAACATTTCAGGCTAGAAGGGATTGACATGATATATTCAAAGTGATGGAAAGCAAGGACCTACAACCAAGACTACTTTACCCAGCAAGTATATCATTTATAATTGAAGAAGAAATAAGGAGCTTTCCAGGCAAGAAATGTGTAAGGGCCTCTTTGAAGAAAAAAAAAAGATGAGGGAAAGGAGGAAAAAAAGGAACATAGTTAACAGAAGAAAATGGCAATAAATATGTACCTATCAATAGTCACTTTAAATGTAAATGCCTTAAATGCTACAATCAAAAGACATAAGGTAGCTGAATGGATAAGAAAACAAAACCCATATATAAGCAGTCTACAAGAGATCCACCTCAGAAAGGTAGATAGACACAGACTAAATGTAAAGGGATGAACAAAGATATTTCATGCAAAAAAAAAAATGCTGGGGTAGCCATACATTATTTTCAAATGCACATGGAACATTTTCTAGGAAAGATCAAATGTTGGGACACAAAGCAAGTCTTAATAATTTTAAAAATACTGAAATCATATCAAGCAACTTCTCTGACCATAATGGAATGAAACTGGAAATCAATCACAAGAAAAAAAAATTAAAACACACAAAGACATAGAAGCTAAATATCATATTAGTAAAAAAAAAATGAATGGGCTAACAATAAGATCAAGAAAGAAACAAAAAAAAATATCTTGAAACAAATGAAAATGAGAACACAAGAAGCCAAAATCTATGGGGCACAGCTAAAACAGTTGTAAGAGGTAAATTCTTAGCATACAGGCCTACCTCATGAAACAAGAAAAATCTTAAATAAGAGTCTAGTTTTACTTTAAAAACTGGGGTGGGGGGGGGGAATCAGCAAACAAAGCCCAAAGTGAATAGAAGGAAGGAAATAAAGATCAGAGCAGCCCTGGCTGGATTGCTCAATTGGTTGGAGCATTGTCTCACATACCTAAAGAATGCAAGTATAATTCCTGCTCAGGGCATTTACATCAGTTGAGAATTAGATCCATGATGGGGGCATGTATGAGGGGCAAACAGTTGATGTTCCTGTCTTTCATCAATCTTTCTCTTCTTTTCTTTATATCTAAAATCAGTAATAGAAATATCCTTGGGTGAGGATTAAAAAAGTACATATCAGAGAAAAATAAATGAATTGGAGTCTAAAACAACAATATAAAAATCAATGAAACCAAAATTTGGTTCTTTGAAAAGATAAACAATGTTGACAAAACTTTAACCAGGCTCAAAGAGAAACACAGAGAGAAGACCCAAAAGAATAAAACAAAAAATAAAAGAGGAGAATTAACAACTGACACCAAAGAAATACAAGGGATTGTAAGAAAATATTACAAACAACTATATGTCAACAAATTGGACAATATAGAAGAAATGGATAAATTCTTCCATATCATGTATTTCATGTATTTCTAATTCCTAGCTATTTAGAAAGTAGTAGCCTTCATATGCACAAGTAATAAGCTGTTAGAAGGTGAGTTGGAAGTGAAAACTCCATTTACAATAAAAACAAAAATATTTGGAATAGATGTACAAAGAAAAGTACAAAATATATATAAGGAAACTTAAATTCTCTTGAACAATACAATAGATTTTCACTGCACACTTTCCTGGTTCTCTCTGATACTTTTATACATGTGCCTACAAATATATAAAGCCTTTGTTTTCACTGCAAACAAACTTTGGAGAATATATACTTGTTTTTAACATGAAAGAAATTAAATGAAATAAAATAAATGAAATATTTGAAAAGCAAACAAAAAGAAACGAAAACACAAAACATTCCTGATAATCTTTCTTTTTTACTATTTTAATGGACATGTTTTTATGAAAAGAAATGTTTTTCTAAATATAAACTCTCACTTGACTAGTGTTGACTACTATTTTGCTAATACTTTATTGTCATATTTTTGGTTTTTCTAAGAAAACTAATCGGGGTTATTTTTCAAGAAAAAAAGTTCTTGGTAATCTGGAGCTTTCTTTAGATGATGTCGACTGACAAGTAAATGTCATGTTTTGTGCAGTCTCACTGTGAGAAACCAAGAACAGACACCCAGGACAGCTTCCCATGAGCTCAGAAGAGATGACATTCCAAACCATGAAGAAAGGTAAAATCTCATTTGTTTAGCTCACTGAGTTGACAGAAGTGCCTACTTTATTATTTTTTGCACTATATGTTTCAATGAACATAAAGTTTCTGTGCATGCAATTTGCTAATACCAAATCATAAAGTGGCATCACATTTTAAATGCAGAATTCTTTTTAACTTACTATGTGATAGGGTCAAAAATCAGTTCCATCATTAATCTAAATACCTGCCAATCTCAAACATAAATTGATGCTTCTTGACAAATATATGACACTATTTTATTTTTATATGATATACTTTTAAGATAAGAGATTATAATGAAACATACACAAGTGGTTTTCAGGAAAGTTTTAAAAGTCCATTTTTTCTTAACTATTGGCTTATACTTCCATTAATGAATTATTTTTTAAATTTAACTAAAAAGTCGCTTAACAAATACATCACTTTCCATAATGCCAAAATTTAAAATTGCCTTTCTTCCCACCTGTAGTATCTATTGCTTTATTTTTACCTATGTGTTCTTATTCCTTTCTTTGGTATTATGGTTATATAATTGCAAATCCAAACCAATATCCTAAAAGCATTGTTCAAATAGGTCTTGTATTAATTGTTTACTTTTGAAAGGAAAACAGCATTAGCCTAAAAGGTTAATTACTGCATTTTGCCATATATAACATGCACCCACATTTTTGTGTGCATTATACACAGGATTATTATAACCATGGTATGTAATCATTATGCCCATATATAATGTGCATCCTTATTTTTCCCTCAAAAATTTGCACCAAAAAAGTGTGCATTATACACAGCAAAGTATGTAAATATTTTCTTCTTTCTTTATCTTATTTATTTTTACCCAGGTTTTCAAAGTATGGGAAGCACATCAAAATCTTTCACAACTTATTAGTTTCTTAAAAATAGCTTTTATTTTATATATTCCAGTAAAATGTATTCTGTACCAAAGCTTTGAAGCTGCTACATCTGAAACCAGAATTCTTTTTTTTAATTTTATTTTAATCATTGTTCAAATACAGTTTTCTCCCTTTTACTCCCATTCCAGCCCACCCACCCAACCCTCCCCAATGAAACCAGAATTCTTACATCTAGTCCTAGCTGTACCCATCCTGCCTGTGGGTCCTTGGGACTCTGTGCACTTGACTTAGTAGTCACACTATGCCTCGGTTTTCTTATGTGTAAAATGGGGATGATAATAGTTTGTCATAGCTAAGACAAAAACGGCTTGTTGTGAATATTAAATAAGACGAGTAAAGCACTGAGAATAGAGCCTGGCAAAAGGCAAGCATTCAATATATGTTTGCTATTATTAGTTCTCAATTACATCCAATAATATAAAATGACTTTTTTACAACTTAATTCCACTTTTGCTTCCATTTTTACTTAGATATTAATATTATTTTTATTTGCATTTGCCTCATATATCTTTGCCTGTGTATTTGTTTTTAATTTTTGGTAATATTTTGTATGTTTCCCCAAAAGTATTATGTTACATTGTGGCCCAGTTTCAGTGTCTGTCTCTAAATAGAGAATCCAATTACATTAAGTCAGTTATTTTAATGGGTACTCATATGTATAATCTTCCAGCATATTCTTTGATAGTCTGCTTGTAATACCTAATTACTTATTTTTTCTTTTCTTTTTCAATTTTTATATTTTTTTATTACTTGGTATGGGAACTGTGCTTTCTTTGCTTTTAGGTTCTTCAGTATGATGGAAATTATATGCTCTCAAAATATAACCAAAGACACTGAAATAGAGGACAGGCTGACGGTGACCGGAGGGGAGAGAAGAGGGAATTTCAGGGGACAGTGGGAAGGGTTCACAGGAACAAACTTAAAGGACACATGGTCATAGACTAAGGGGAGGGTGGTAATGGGAGGGAAGTGGGGAGGGTGGGAGGGGGGACTGGATTGGGAGTAAAAAGGAGAAAACTGTATTTGAACAATGATTAAAAATAATAATAATAATAATAATAAAAAGAAATTATATGCTCTCTTTTTCAGAAAATGCCTTTAAGTTTTTCTAAAATAATTCTTTTATATTTTTTTAAATTGACAGAAGTAAAAAGATGTATTTTGAATTTTCATACTTAAGGAACATAATTTAGCCTACTTTTTAGTAAACCTCACCAATTTAATGGGAATCTTTGTAAAAAGAATTCAGGATTTTTATGTAGATTACTTTATTATTTTTAAATTATCCTTTAAATATCATTTAAAACATTTTGAAAACTAAGTTTCCAGCTAACTAGTTAACTAGAAAACTAATTTTCTATATTATGTTTCTATTCCTTCATGAAGAAAATTTAACTACCCACTATAAAAAAAATGAAATAATACAGAAGTTTTACAATAAAAAATCTTTCATACCTGATCCCAATCTCTAGGTATACTATCTGCCATCTACAGCTTTTTATATATCCTCCAAGGAATTTTCTGTGCATTTGCACACAGCTGTATTAAAATGGGATCCATAGTCCATACTGAATCTAATTTTGATACTAAACTTGAAACAATTGTTTAGACATTTGTGATTGTTTTCTCTGCTCACTGTTCTCTTTCTATAAACTCCTTTCTCTGGTCTGGCGCTTTTCATTTATGTTGCAATACTGAGTCAGGTGTAATCATCTTCAAGATATGATTTCAAGAAAAGAACATAGAACTTACATTGTGAATATTTTATATGTGAGAGTGTTTTTCCTATGACCTTCATGTAATTAGGACAAGTTACCTGAATAGCAAATTCTTGGGAATACACCCTTGAAACTAAAAAAAGAGAGCTTTTGGCCTTATGTCAGAGTACATAATATGAGGGCCTTCCTAATGCAGAACAACAGATTTTTGCATAAATCTAAAAGTCTTTGCATTCCTGAGCTCACAGAAAGTAAGAAAAATGAGGAAGTACCTGAAAAACACAACTAAATAAGATGTAAGCAAAACCCTGAGTAGTGACTGGTAAGCACAGAGGAGAAGGGTTTTCTTTAAGGGCTAGTGCAGAGTGGGGTGAGGGCAAGGTATTGAAACTGAGGCTCCTAGATTAAGCCCTGATCCCTAAAATGGTCCTGGGTCAGTAACAAGTGCTAGACCTCAGAGAAAGCAAATACACATCCTCTCTAGAGAAAAGAAAACATCCTCAATTTCAACTCTCAGTTTGCCAAAGATTAAGACCAACCCAAAATTACAAAACTAAAAGGAAACAAACTACCACAAATAATAGTAAGTTGAAACAACACGGATTTAGAGTCCAAAGGACTAAAGATGTAAGTATCTGTAATAAAATATAAAATAATGGTCTCAGAAATCTTAAGGCAATAAAAAATTGAATCACAAAAATGAGTAAGCAGAATTCAACTGTCAACAATGTCCAGGAGGACTGTGAAGTTGTACTATAGTTTTGCAAAATACTACCATGGAGGAAATGGGGCAAATGGTGCATAGGATCTCTGTTTTATTTTTTTCTTACTTTTTGAATATTATTTTTTGAAGTCAGAAATGCACTTTTCTTGAGGCCAGAAGTCCAAAATCAAGATGTCAGTAGGGCCAGGCTCTCTGGCAGCTCTACAAGAGCACCATTCCTTGCTTCTTCTAGCTTCTCTGGTACTTGCCAGCAATCCTGGACATTCCTCATTTATAGATATTTCATGACAGTCATAAGACTATCTCTTCCTTGTGTATCTTTACATGGTCTTCCCTCTGTGTGTGCCTGTCTCTGTTTGTGAGAACACCAGTCGTATTGGATTAGGGCTCACCATAAAGACCTCATCTTACCTTGATTACCTCTATAAAGTTCCTATTCACAAATAAGGTAACATCCTGAGGTACTGAGAGCTAAGATTTCAACATCTCTTTTTTATAAGGGAACCTAATAACACCTTCCTATGAAATAATACTGGATCCAGTTGGTTTTACAGATTAGTTCCACAAAACATTTCAGGAGTTGATCATTCCAAGACTACATGTCTTGTATAACTACCCAAAAGTCTAAGAGGCAGGTGTAACAGTGATACCAAAACCCAATGAGGACAGTACATGAATGGAACATCAGAGATGAATCCTGCTCAGGAACTCTGTTTGGTCACATACAGCAACATGGGTGAATCTTAGACACTCAGTGTTGGGTGAAAAAGGCAAATTGCAGAAGCCATTTTTATAAAGTTAAAAAAAAAACTTAGCCTTGGCTGGCATAGCTCAGTGGATTGAGCGTGGGCTGCGAACCAAAGTGTCGCAGGTTCAATTCCCAGTAAGGGCACATGCCTGGGTTGCAGGCCACAGCCCTCAGCAACCACACACTGATGTTCCTCTCTCTCTCTCTCTCTTTCTCCCTTCCCTCTCTAAAAATAAAGAAATAAAATCTTTAAAAAAAAGCTTAAAAATATATTTTCCAAGGATATATACATACATATATACATACAAAGAAACTATTTTAAAAAGGGGGTAAGGAAAAAGATCATTGTTAAACAGACTATGTTTTCTGACCCCAATATAATTAAATGTAAGTAAATAATCGACTCAGGGAAAACTCAAGGTCAAGAATAGTGGTTCCCTCAGGGATGGGGAGTTGGAGAGCAATGTGTGAATGTGGTGCCAAGGTAAATGCAGCTGTTGGTGATGACCTGGTTCTTAAGGTAAATGGTGAATTCATAAATGCTCATTTTTACTGTGACCCTTCCTAACCCACAATTATATAACATATTCTTTTCTCCTCTTTAAAATTCTCTTTTGAGTTCAAAAAAATACTAAATAGACACTGCCTCATTGCATTGCTATTTTGGAAATCAGTGTGGTCAGGGCTGACTTAAGTCTGTCACGTGACTGGGGAGTTTTTACTCAGATGATTATAGGACCTTTCTTTACTTCTATAATTTAAAAACTTTTCTAGGATGTGCCTAGATGTAAACAAGTATGTTCTCAGCAGTTACTCTAGCAATTTGGTCTGTAAGCATTTGGGCAGTAGCCATGCAATCCAGTTAACAGTTTGAAAATATCAAATTCATGTGTTTTTGCTAAAGATTTAAGGAAACCAAGAAGAGCTCTTTCTCTTCCTAAAATGACCTAAGTACACATTTTCATTCCCAGAGAGTAAAAAGATGGGTTTCTAGTGATGAAATTCAAATTAACTATCATTAACATAGCCCCCTTTTGCCCTTTCTTCTGGTCTCTGCTAAGCACCACTCCTACTCTGGAAGAGGTAAGCTCCTGGGCGCAGTCCTTTGACAAGCTAATGCTCACTCCTGCGGGAAGGAACACTTTCCGTGAGTTCCTCCGAACAGAATTCAGTGAAGAAAACATGCTTTTCTGGATGGCATGTGAGGAACTGAAAAAAGAAGCTAATAAAAGCATTATTGAGGAAAAGGCAAGGATCATATATGAAGACTACATTTCTATTCTTTCTCCTAAAGAGGTATGCACCTAACAAAAGGTTTTCTCCCAGGAGGCTGTGGATAAAATTAACCCTATCAGGGTTTGGTCACGTGGCACAGTTACAGCTACTCCAAATACAGAAAATGACTCCACCTACTATTCATGATACAGTTACCCTTGAACAACCCTGGTTTTAACTGTGCAGGTCCACTTATATGTGGATTTTTCCCATTAAATACAGTAGAGTACTGTAAATATATTTTTCTCTTCCTTGTACTTTTTAATAACATTTTCTTTTCTTTAGCTTACTTTATTATAAGAATATAGTATACAATACACATAATATACTAAATAAGTGTTAATTGACTGTTCATGTTGCCACTAAGGCTTCCAGTCAACAGAAACCTATTAGTAAAGTTCTGGGGAGTCAAAAATTGTATGCAGATTTTCAACTACATGGGGGTGATGCCCCAATCCTCATCTTGTTCAAGGGTCAACTGTATTCAAATCCTTTTGACTATGGTCCCACAAATGTGCTTCAATACACCCTGAAATCTGTGAAAGATTTTGTGTATTTTTCTGGAAAAAAGTATGCATAACTTTCATTAGATTATCCAGAAGGGGTAGTATATGCATTTTAGTATTAATACTGATTAAAAATAGTACACCCATCAGCATTTCTTTAAATAAAATCCTTTTATTCTGAGTAAAATCCTTTCTATAGGCATCTTTATTTTATATGGTAACATCACTAACATATTGATGCTTCCAAGTTTTTCCCCAGGATGTCCTTTTTTGATATCAGAGAAGTTATGAGTGAAATCAAACAAGTTCTCATCTCTCAGAGTTTTTGTTCCTTCAATGTCAAAATGTAGGAAGTTAGATTGATTTCAAAAGAAGGTGCTTTGTAAGCTCTAATTATAAATACTCATGATTCCTACTATGTGCTAAGAATATAAAGTTAATAAAACAGGGCCTCTCCTGGCATTCCTGCCAGGAGTGGCATTCCTCACACTCAAGGATCAGAACGACATGGAACCCCTAACAGGGTCCTCACAGGGGTGGATGCAGTGAGTCATCAACAGTGGAGAGAGGCAGGAATGAGGGAGATGTACTGGGAGAGGCCTAAGACCAACCAAGGATAATAAAAATGAAATTATGAGAAACACAGTGGATGAAGACATCTAAGAAGATAGGACTAGATGGGCCAAAGAAAAGGATTTAGTCACATCACAGTAAAACTGTCAATAGTTTGGTGTGGCACACTGACCAAACATTTAGGGCAGATAGCAGACAACAGGAGGAAATTAAGAAAAGTGGATTGTCTGAAAGCATAAAAAAATTGGGAGGCATGCTGAGCTTTTCTGCTGTCTATCTGGGATGCCCTTGTATTTTAGACTGGTAACATCATCAGATTTGGAGTTTGAAAGACCATTATGGCTGCCGAATGGATTAGGAGAAGACTGGAAGCAGGGGACTGAGTAGTTCAAACAGATATGATAAGAACCTGAGAGGCCTATAGAGGCTTCTCCAGTAGTGAGTGCAGCCCTGCAGATAAGCTTGGGGGGTTGGGAAGTCTTCCCAGGACAGGGAGTGACATCTGAACCAAGACCTGATGGAGAGAAGTACACTCAGCCAGGAGGAGGAGGGGGAAAGGTGTATTCTAAACAGAAGCAACAAAAACAAACTAATTCTATATCCTTTTTTCTTTAAATTCCAACTGAAATCCAAGTTCTTTAAATTTGTGCATGAAATAGTGAGCTGGGAAATTAGTGGAAGCAGATCATGAAAGGGCTCATAAGTTTCAATTTGGAATTTCTAAGCTTTGGATTTGATCCTGAGAGCATGGCAAGCCAGTGCAAGGGCTGAAGCTGGAGTGTCTGGGTTTATGCTTTAGAAAGACCCCTCTGGCCGACCCTCTGGAGGCTCCTCAGGTGGGACTCAGAATCTATTTAACAAGCCTTCCAGAGGCTTCTGCTGCCACTAAAGTTAGAAAACCCCTTGTCATTATACATTCAGTTTCTTTCGTCAGTTTAGATTTTTGGATGACCTTGGTTGGTTTGGGACTTTTAAAAACCAGAACAAGCTATGGGAGTTTGGGACGGATTTCCCAACAAAACTGTATCTAATACTACTTTTATTTGTTTCTATTGACAGGTCAGCTTAGACTCCCGAGTAAGAGAAGTCATCAATAAGAACATGGTGCAGCCATCTCAACACGTATTTGATGATGCACAACTCCAGATTTACACTTTAATGCACAGAGACTCGTATCCCCGATTCATGAATTCTGCTGTCTATAAAGATTTGCTCCAGTCCTTATCTGAGAAGTCAGTTGAAGCATAGGATGTTATAAAATATATTTATTATTAATAAAATAATAAAAACTCATGGATGAAGTCTAGTACAGGGAATTAAGAGGTAGCAGTGTTTTCTGCTGGTGTAATATTCAGGCTATTTTAATAGCAGATGCTTCCTTCCACAGAAGATGATATATTCACAATATAAATTGCAGCCACCTTTAGTGATACTTTTGAAAAAATGGGCATGGCTGTATTAGAAAGATAGTATATATACATTTACAGTAATAGTAACATATCCTGAGTGGCAAAGGATACACTAGAAGACTCCATACTGCCTGGAGTATGTACATTCACTGGAGCATACTGGGCTGCTTTTGTTCTGTATGAGTTCAGTACCTAATTACTAGCCTCCCAAAGAAAAGATGTGCAGGTGTCTCTCAGATACTCCTTTCCAACAAGTTCAGTTTTGTATATGGCCAAAGCCAATGGACATATCCAAATGGCTTTGGACATATCCATGCACTAGAGCCATTCCAAGAGCCAAATTCTCATCTTTTTCTTTTTTTTTTTACATTTTTTAAAATTTTATTTTAATTGTTGTTATAGTATAATTTTCTATCTTTTACTCCCATATGACAACTTCTTGTAAAAAAATGGAGTCCCACTTAATCTTAGAATACATGTATGTAGGTACATATATGTGTGTCTGAATCTATCTATGGGTAAGGTAAAGCACTGTGCTCTGAAGTGCATCAGTCTCAAATGTTTGGTAAGACAAGTAGCGCTTAGAAAATCCTTTTTTTGAAAATTTACCATTATCTTATCAGAATCTGCCAACCTAAAGAACAAATTTTTAAGTTCACCACTTGGTCATATTCATAACAAAACTCTCAAATAAGCATATTTCCATTTTATTATTGAAATAAATATGGGCATTTTCACTCTAAAAAATAAAGCACAAGAATTTTACCTCAATCTTTACTTTTTTGCATATAAATATTTGGGAAATATAAAAGTAGGTAGGGATACATGCAATGTATCTCTTAGCTTCCACATGAGACTTTTGCTTTTAGACCCCACTATTTTTATGACAGGCAACTGAAATAACTTTATAGCTTGGTCAAGGTCAAAATACTGGTTTGTAAACCTAAACATCCTGAAGAAGCCCATCACTACTAAAAATGGGAAAGACATCTACAAAGAGGGGACTATGAAAGACATCCAAATCTGGGATTGTTTGAGGAATAAGAAATTAATTGGCAAGAGGCCCACAGCATGTTTTAGTCCTAAATGGGATGCTTTCTTCTCAGTTATCTCCCTCACCTGGCTCTTCAGCCTAATGATTGCTGCATTACTTTCTTCAAATCCCAAACCTAAGCCCCTCACCCTTACTCTCAGTAAACCATCTTACCTCCTAATCTATTATGACAATGGTGTCCCTAATCCCTTTCGACATCCTGTGTAATCTATAAATACATATAGACCAGCCTCTATCCCTGCCTCCTTCAGTCTGGTCCCAAAGAATGAAGTGTTATTTCCTCCTTTCCAAGGCATCAACTCCTTACATATGTTTTTTATTCCATATTTTTTCTTTACAAAATATTCCATAATTTATTCTTATTTTTTTCATTAGATGAAGAGAACATAATTGTGATTAAGGCATAAACCCTGCCCTCTAGTACTTTTCATTCAAGTATGGGCAGCAGATGTGTCCATGACAGATACAATGAATTGTAGTTAAGTAATATAACAGTGAAGAACTAAGCTGTGAAGTCTTGAGGAGCTATGGAAAGGTTTCAGCAGAGGCAACACCAAAGCTAAAACCAATAGAACAAAGTGAGTGAGTGAGAGAGAGAGAGAGAGAGAGAGAGAGAGAGAGAGAGAGAGAGAGTGTGTGTGTGTGTGTGTGTGTGTGTTTGGAGGGCCAAGGTATAGGGCAGGTGTTTGTAATTGAAGCAATTCCAAACCAAATGCTGGGCAGGAGGTAACTGGAGAGAGCTAATGGTTGGGATTTTAGAATGGAGTATTGACTTTGGTATTTTTCAACACATAGATGAATGAGATTGCCTGGAAAGTTACATTAGAGGAAGAGCTGAGGAAGAATCCTTGTAAGGATGGAGAAAAACAAGAATTCCCAAAAGAGATTTGGAAGGATCTGGCTCCTCAATACAGGAAAGAAGAAAGTCAGGGCATGTAGGGGTACAGCAGCAAATGAGTGGGAGTGCTCCAAGGAGACAGTGGTACACAGTGGTAAATTAAATGCTTTTACCTAGAACTTTGCTCCATTGACTTTTCCCTACTCTCTGATATCGCCACCTTGACTTTTCCCACACCATACGCATCCTTGGATTCCCAGTTAAAAATAATCCTACCTTACATAACTGGTGATTCTTTCTCCTCATCAGACTTTTCACAATAGTCCACTCCTGCTGTCTCCATCCCTTGTCTCCTCATTCACTTCCTGAACAGCCCAGGGAGGTGTCCATCAGTCAAGTCTAATACCGTTTTCCTGGTCTTCGTGGACTGCCCATGTTCCTGACATCACTGACAATGGCTTGTTGAAACCACCACTCACTGTTCTTTTGAGGTGCTTTTCTCACTCTCCATATTCTTTCACCTTTATCCATAGGTGGCAGAGCACAGCAGCTAAGGGTTTGGGCTGTGGAGCTAGACTTCCTAACTCCTCGATTCACTGTCTGGAGCCTTTCTGGATCTGTTTTCTTTCCCATATCAATGGAAACAATGGGGACAATCATGGTACTGTATCCCTGGCATTGCTGTGAGGATGAAAACTACCAATCCATGTAAAATACAGTAGGCATTTACTACATGGCAGTTATTGCTATTATTGCTTGCCCACTAAATGACATGGCCCCTAAGGTTTGGGCTTTGTCTTATTTTTCTGACTAATCTATATGTTCTCCTTTGGTTCTCATATCCTCTCCTCATTTAAATAACTATCACTATATTCATGGCTACCAACAGGATCTAGTCTAGCCTTTCTCCTGAACTTCAGAATCAGCTGCTGATTGGACATCTCTACTTGTATATTCCTAAGATGAGTGAAACTTATTGTACTTTTGACTTATCTCCCCACCCCCTCACCCTCCTCCTAGCCCAGCCTCTGCCTATAGCCCCAATCACTTAGCCAGTCACCAAACCTCATATATGGTTGTTAAATTTGACTCTTCCCACTCTCTCCTCTCAAACAGAATCACCAAGCCATGCTAATTTTATCTCCTAAATATTTCTTATGTGTCTCTTCTCCTTCTCTCTCTGACCCCATTATCTCTCACCTGTCAGCATCATTGCCCAAAGGCCTCCTAACAGGTCTCCCTGCACCCATCTCTGCCATTCAAATCCATCTTTCAAAATGCCAGAGGGTGATCATTCTCATATACACATCCACTTGTTCCTGTCCCTCCACTCCTTAGAATCTTTAGTAGCTCCCAATTACCTGGAGTACAAATACCAAAGTTTTGGCATTGTGTATAAGCAAGGTCCTCTGCAGTCAGGTCACCAGCTCCCTAGCTATTCCCACACATGTTTTAGACTCTAAAATATATGTCTATGGAAAAGTTACATATATAACATCACACTTTCCTAAATGCTCATGAGAATTTGGTTGATACTTTCTGTATTTCCTACCCCCTCACTAAAATGCCACCCTTCACTCAGCTAACTTCTATCATTCCTTCAAAATTTACCTCACATATTACTCCCTTCAAGAAACCTCACCTGACCTCCTAAGTCGTATTTCCATCATGTGGGGTGCCATTCTTTAGTGTTCTAGGGCTAACGTGTACAAATATTTATCATCTCAGCTGGTAAGATCCAGGGGCATTGAAAATGTACTTTATCAATTATTTTATATATAATACAGTCATTTTTCGATTAAAATGGAGATATGTTCTGAGAAATGTGTTGTTAGGAAATTTCTTCAGTGTGGGAATATCACAGAGGTGCACTTACACAAACCTAGAAGGTACATCCTACTACACACCTAGGCTATGTTGTCCTGGACTACAAACCCGTACAGCATTTTACTGCACTAAATATTGCAGGCAATTGCAACACAATGGTAAGTATTTGTGTATCCAAATATATCTAAATACAGAAAAGGTACTGCAAAAATATAGGATAAAAGATAAAAAATGGTGCTGCTGTCTAGAGTACTTACCACAAGTAGAGCTTGCAGGAGGGAAAGGTCCTCTGGGTGAGTCACTGAGTGGTGAGTGAAGGTGAAGGCCTAGGGCATTACTGTGCACTACTGTAGACTTTACAAGTACTGTACACTTAGACTACACTAAAATTATAAAACATCACGATATTAAGACAAGTGATTTAACATGAGCTTGCAAAGAAAATGGTGTAATCAAGAGACACAGTATGTACGAGGCCCTGCTGATGTAATACAGCATATGGTTTCACAGTCAATTATTTTTATAAGTAGAAAGAGAACACTCTAAAATGACAATAAAAAGTATGGTATTGTAAGTAAATACACAAATCAGTAACATAGTCATTTATTACCCTTGTCAAGTATTAGGCACTGAACATAATTGTATGTATTATACTTTTATTTGACTGGCAGTACAGTAGGTTTGTTTGCACCAGTATCACCACAAATGTGTGAGTAATGTGTTGTGTTAAGGTGGCTACGACATCACCAGGCAATACCAACTTCTCAGCTCTATTATAATCTTAGGGGACCACCATTGTATATGCAGTCCATCGTTGAATGAAATGACATTATGTAGCACATGAGTCTATCTACCTTACAGCAGTATTCAATAAATGTAGAAATGAAAGTTTTAACACAAAAACTGAACTTCCTATAGCTATTAAATAAAAATTGCATTTCAAATTTGTTTTGTGATCTGTCACATCTCAGAGAAATATCATCACAGCCCATGTGACCACAAAACTATGGATCAATTCAGTGGATAAATCTGTAGTGCCAACTCTGTATATGGATAAATCCTGAAGTCACTACCAAAGTATCTTACAAATTCAATGCAATTCCAAGATTTTTTTTGTAAAATTTAAAAATAAAATCTGGCAAGCTGATTTTGTTACAATAGATAGCTCTCCATTTGGAAAAACATGCATTTAAACAAATATAAATTCCAAATGGTTTAAAGACCTAAAAGCCTTTTTTAAAAAGAATGCTATAAGAATCAGAATGGCCATCATAAACAAATCAACAAACAACAAGTGTTGGAGAGGATGTAAATAAAAGGGAACCCTAGTACACTGTTGTTAGGAATGCAGACTGGTGCAGCCACTGTGGAAAACAGTAGGGAATTTCCTCAAAAAGCTAAAAATGGAACTGCCTTTTGACCCAGCAATTCCACTGCTGGGATTATACCGTAAGAATCCTGAAACACCAATCCAAAAGAACCTATGCATCCCTATGTCCACAGCAGCACAATTCATAATAACCAAGGGTTGGAAACAGCCTAAGTGCTCATCAGTAAATGAGTGGATCAAGAAACCATGGAATACTATGCAGCAGAAAGAGAGAAGGAGCTTCTGTCCTTTGTGAGAGCATGGGTGGAACTGGAGACCATTAAATTACTAACTGAAATAAGCCAGGCAGTGAAAGACAAATACCATATGATCTCACCTATTAGTGGAACCTAATCAACAAAACAAACAAGCAAGCAAAACATAACCAGAGATGTTGAAATAAAGAACAAACTGCCCTAGCTGGTGTGGCTCAGTGGATTGAGTACCAGACTGAAAATCAAAGGGTCGCTGGTTCATTTCCCAGTCTAGGGCATATGCCTGGGTTTCAGGCCAGGTCCCTGGTAGCGGGTGTTCGACAGGCAACCACACATTGAAATTTCTCTCCCTCTCTTTCTCCCTCCCTTCCCCTATCTAAAATAAATACATAAATAAAATCTTTAAAAAAAAAAAGAACAAACTGAGAGTAACCAGAAGGGAGGGGGCA